TAATGGATGACCAAGCTCTAATTAGCAGTGAAAGTCTAGATAGAGCTTCACCAGAGCTCTGGCCTGAACAAAGTATACTTCCTCGTCTTTCCCTTATTTTCACCATACCCCAGGTGTTTCGGAATTCATTTCAACCCGTCAGCCTGATTTGAACATTCAAACACCGGCTAAGTACACCACGGATTTAGATAAGGAAGATCTCGAACTTATTCACGGTATTTGAGATGCTGGTCATCTGAGCGTTTTTCTTTAGACTTCGGCAGTTTGTCCACCCAACAGCTAATGGATAAAATCAAGCAGTTGCAGAACCTTGCCTATCAAGTTGGTCTTGAGGAGTGTAAGTTGCCTTTTGCCCTTGTGAATTTCCTTATTTCGTCTAGCAAAGGAAATGAGCCGAGGAAAGTTCCTGAACATATTGGGGAAACGTTAAGATCTTAGTTACTATTCTCCTTGTCCTCTATGTTCACTTCATGGCCATTCACTGTATGTAAATAACATGTGTTCTTGTTTTCCCAGCCTTTTTCTCATTATGTTTTCCGGAAATACTGCAAAATAGTCGTTTAAAGATTTGAGCTCAGACTGTTTCACGTGACTTCGTTCACCCAGGCTTCGTATATGGGTGGTGGTCGAGTTATATGATGCAAACTTACGACTGTATGATACCCGTCTGGTTCCGCCGTTCAGGAATCTTAACCTTTTCTCCATCAGACTCCCTCGCTTATTTAAAGCACGCTTCTACATCAGTTTGCAAAAGCCCTCTTTATGTACTTGAATCGAACTGTTTGGACCACTTACAAATAGTTGTCGAACAAGGTCTGTAGATGTCTTTTTAGGTCTCATAAATGTCCGTATCAGCTACGAATGTGTAAACTTTCTAGGGAGATTCGCTAGTTTTTTTACGGGTTGGTCCGGATATCTCTCATAACTTCTGGTTCTTCCGAACTAGTCAGAATCATCTGCCACCAAAAATGGTATCATTGGCCTCATAACTACCCCCCCCCCTCCACGGCGTACTGTTCAAATCTCACCTCTGCGGTTGGACGCTATAACCGTGTCATGAGAGTTGCCTTTTCAAACACGGAAAGCATTCGCTTTTGGTATTCCATATCGTATCTGTCCGTCCTTATATTGGACACTACGGTGGTCGCATTATTCTGAACGGGTGTTTGGTAACGTAACGTTGCGGATGAGTTCGAACTCGGCTTTTTGGAGCCTATCACCAAACGGTCACAGACAACACTCCATCACTGTGTCGCCGCCAGGAGGCGCCATCTATCGGTGGTGAAGTTTACTTTCAAGCCAGGGTCCGTCAGTCGAAGCTACGTTACTCTCCGAGACTTGTTTTTTTCTACCTATTTGAGATTGTTGTGGGTCAGTATGAGGCTTAGGCCAGAATTGAAATTGCCTCGACTGCAAACTTGCAAATTCGGATCTACATTCCACCGAATTTCAAGTCGGGATCGCAGGCGCTCCAAGCAAGCTGTATGCAGGCTGTGTAACGCACCGTTTCTTCTGATTATCCCACCGGTTTCACGGAGAATATAAATCAGATGGGACGTCGAACATCCTGACTTTCTCTTTTTCTCTGTACGGATCGGACACGATCGCAGTACGAAGACCTTGGGCCGCAAGTCGGTTTCATTAGCACATATTTTCACGTCTCACTTCCAGTATCCAGATTTTAGTGATAATATGCGTTCCCTTGTACCTTCCAATCAAGACTTTGCCGTTACGACTGCGGTTTAGAAGAAGAGATTCCGTCCAGCCCCAACATCTTGGAATTCTGCTACCAGAATTTCATCTGTCGTATGGGTGGAAGACTGGAGAGATAAGATCACGCTGTCCGCAATCACTGCTCGCGACTGGGTCCTCCTGACCATATGCTACCTTCCTTGTTCTTGCTAGCTGATAGAATCCATTGGTTGCGTTTACGAGCTTTACGCGTACCTACACTACTTTTAAGGACTTCTTTCATGTCACTTCGTTATACGAGTAAAGATTGAGACGAAACATAATAAACAGAGCATCGTCTTCTAAAATCTCTCTATCTGTTCCAGGTTTTCCCGGTCTGCGAGCACATGGACTGCGTGGAGTCTGTTTGGGCCAACATTGCCTTAATTTCTTTCTAATTAGAGAGTAATATTGCGCAAGGATAATCACGGGGTCTCCGCTGTAATATTGGTGAGCTCTTCGCCTCTGCCGTTGTGCCGCACTTCCGGACTGCTACTTCAGCAGCCCTGTAGGCAGGCAACATCTGATTATGACACATTTCAAAAGCCACTGAGAGTCCTTAAATGCAGCCCTCGTTTGCTTGAGCCGATAGTTAATTCCCGTTTAAGAATTGGGTTTTTCCGCATCTTCTGCACCAGACAGCGGTGGGCATTTTAGCGAAGATTGAGACACTTGAAAAAGTTCGGGCGATTTGGAAAATTTTAGTCTTCAGTTCAACAAGCACACATTTAGCAGTAGGGCCGGTGAGTTTGTTTTCGTTCAGGCCATTCAACAGATCTCTGAGCTGTCTTGGCACGGACGCCGAAGACGGGATCGCAAATATTGCCGCCGACGATTATGGACTGCTCGGATTCAGAAGCTGTGTTCGTTCGGTATATGCCGACAGTTTGACTGTCGTTGTCGACGATGTCCAACACGTGCTCCACTCTGGATGAAGCAGGGACGGAGACTTGTGCGTGAGTTAGTTTATAATGGTAGTGGACTTGCACAGCACCTACCTCATTCCCCCCCCCACCTGGACCCGGTGTCAAGATAGTCAAAAAAACGGAGTCGGGGGAGGGCGCAGGTGGATGGCACGACCGAGACGCACCTTGGCTCTTCACTCCACACTCCCTGGTCCACACAGCAAATGACCAGGATTTTAACCAACAGCAACGAAAGGAGCTGGCGCGGCCAAATTCGCACCTAGGCGTGTCGTCACACCTGACTCGGATCTCACGGAGTGGGAGTGCCATAAAGGCCACGTTAAGAAGGAGCCATTACAGTCTGCCTCTTAGACCACCAGTCGACCGTTCCACAGAAGCACACACTGTACCGACTGCGAGGTCAGTTGGCAACCTTCCAAGCCACGGCATTTAGCGCAACGTGATAGCTTCAAGCACGTCGGATTGTTTATAGTGAGGAAAATTCACCGAGCCGTCGACCTTTCTCTCCCTTCCTATTCCCAGGCCCCAAACACTGTTCGAGCTGATCAGTTGACAGGTGCGGGGAATGGGCGTGGTGGGTGGTGGTAGTCGGATGCTTGTGGTTGGTGACGATGTTGTGTGAGACAGGTGGAGGAAGATGTGATGATGTGGTTTGGCCGGCGACTGTCTGCCGCGGGTTTTCGTGAATGCGCATATGGCCTAATAGGCCCATGCGGTGGGTAGATGTGCGGGTGCAGTGAGCACAGTTTGGACGAATGCGTCCGGTATATGTTGGTGCTCCAGGCACTGGCTTGCCAGTCTGTGCGATGGATTCGCAAATGACCGACCAGGCCGGTGTGAAATGAAAATGCGGCCGCAATGGGGACAGGTGTGGATCGAGTCCACATCGCTGGCTGGTGCTTGTTGGCGTGTCAGGATTGTGTGCACTGGTGGTGGGTACAGGAGTCGCCGCATCGGATGTTGAGGCAGTGGAGGAAGATGATAGTGGGGATTCAAGAATGCACTCAGTGTTGATCGTCAACGTGGGGTGCAGAGCAGAGGTGCGCCGAGGGACATCAAGTGGTATCTTTCGGGTGCTGCAGGTGGTACGATGTCCATTAAGTCCGATTGGTGCTCGGAACGCCCGTTGACATCGTGGGCAGGTTGGGGGGCGGTCGAGCGTTGGCGTTGAGAGGTGGGCGCAGTTTAGATTTGCGAGCCTCACGTCTGACTCTGGCGGCGGTGATGTGGGCGGCTTCGCGGATTGGCGTGCTGATCTTCGCTGTTCTCCGTCAGGTCGGTCCCGGACGAGGTCGGCACAGTTGGCCGGGTTAATTTACAGGCATTTCAGAGAGGCCTTCAGAGTATCCTCGTAGCACTGTACTTGACCTCCTCGTCGGCGGGAACTCATGACGACATCTCCATAGAAGAGTCGTTTGGGTAACCGGTCGTCCATGCACAGGAAGTGGCCGTTCCAGCGCAGTTTCAGTTGTCTCAGCGGGGCGTAGATGCTGAGGACTCCCTTCCGTCCCATTACGCCCCTTGTTGGAATCCAGTCCTGCCACCTCCGCTTCAGTATCCGTCGGAGACAGTTGAGGTGGAAGTGGTTTAATCCTTGCACCTGCTTCTTGTACGCCGTCCAGGTCTCTGCCCCATGTAACAGCGTCGTCAGGATGACCAATTTGTACATCTTCAGTTTGGTGCTGAGTTGAAAACTGACAATTCCAGACTGTGTTTTGCAGACGGCCGAGAGCTGGGCTGACTTCGGACATCCGGTGGGCCACCTCATCGCCGATTTTGGTATTGCGAGAGAGGGTGCGGCCGATGTAGATGAAGTTGTCCACGGCTTGCAGCTGGATGTCGTTCATGTTGATTTGAGGTGCGCCGTAGACGATGTCAGGTGGCGGTTGATGCGTAACCACCGCCTTGTCCGTTTTGATGATTCGGCCGAAGTTGCCACAGGCGGTGACCAAGAGATCGATGCTCCTTTGCATGTCTCCTTCAGAGGTGGCGTTGAGAGCGCAGTCGTCAGCGAAGAGAAGTTAATGGGCGGCAGTTGCGGATACACGCAATTGGAGGCGCATTCACCGCTGATCGAGGAGGTGGCCGTCAATCCTGTAGGCGACGCGGATCTCGGGGCGTTCGTCACGATAGGCGTCCATAAGTATGGCAAAGAACATGAGACTGAAGAGGTTTGGCGGGGAGAGGGTGCGCAACCCTGCTTCACTTCGTTGGTCACTACGAATGTCTCTGAGACGACTCCATTGTCAGCGTCACGCGCGACTATGCCATCGTGGAGCTGACGCAAAATCTCAGTGAGTCGCGGGATAGCCGAATCTGTGCATGATTTTCTGCAGTCCTTCGCGATTCACTGCGTCGAACGCTTTTGGCCAAATCATGGAAGTAAAATAGAAGTGGGTCCTCATCTACTGAAACGTCTTCTTCAGTTGGCGGGTGGCGGAAATAATGTTAGTGGTTTCGCGATGACGTTGGAGGCTGCAGTGACTGGCAGGAGAATCTGTTCCAGATGGCTGCTGAGGCGATTCGGGATGATGCGAGCAAAGATTTTCCCGGTCATAATGAGGAGGGAGGTGCCTCTGCAGTTGTCTTAGATTTGGTGGTTCCCTTTCCGCTTGTAGACACGTACGATTGTGGCGTCTTTGAAATCCTGCGGGATTTTTCTTTGAAACCACATCTGGAAGAGCACCGTCAGGGGTTCCATAAGTTGGGGGCTTCCGTGTTTGTAGATCTCAGCAGGTATATCATCCGATCCTGGCGCTTCCCCTCTGGAGGGCTGTTATGCGACCCTGATGGTTTCGTGGAGAGGACGGGAGGTCGAGGTCAGCATTGGTCTCAACTTGAGGAAGATGGGCGAAAGCGGCATCGGAGATGGTGGAGGGACGGTTGAGGACGCCTCTGAAGCGCTCGGCCCTTTGCAGTAGAATTTGCGTCTCCTCGGTGAGTAGGGTCCTTCCGTCGGCCCCAAGAAGAGGAGCAGTTCCTTGTGGCTGTGGGAACGTGTACAGTCTTGGCCGCCGCGAAGAAGTTCTTCCACTCGTTGAGGTCCGCGTACCCTTGGGTGTCATCGACCCTGCTAGACGTCCAAGCATCCTGTATCTCTCGCAGCCGCTGTTGCAAAAGACGGTGACTACGGTAGAATGCTGCCTTGTCATCAATACGGCGATTGGCGTAGGCTTTGTGCAGTCGGTTTTTCGCGGCGAGCAGATTGCTGATGGCAGCGTCGTCATCGAACCATTCCTAATGTTGGCGGCGTACGCGACCGAGGACAGCCAGGACGATCGACTGGACTGTGTCCCTTAGTTGGTACCATCGGTTCTCCATGGAGGCGTTCTCGTTGGTGGCGGCTATGGGAAGGTTGACTAGCCTTTGAGCTAGTTGATTTCTGAAATGGAAATGGTGAGCAGGCAGCGACAAAGCAATATTCAGCTTACCTGGAGGTCGCTTGGCTTGAGGTCGCCTGCGAGGCTGTAGGCGAATCCTCATCTTGGAGTTGACGAGGCGGTGGTTGGTTCACCCGTGGACACCCGGGATCACCTTTGTCATCAGCACATCCCGCCGGTCTTGCCTCCGAACGAGGACATAGTCCAGCAGGTGTCAGTGTCGCGACCGAGAACGCATTCAGGTGGCCTTCTCTCGCGTTGGAAGGCGGGAAGTGTTGGTCAGAATGAGACGGTGTGTTGCGCAGGTTCCAGGGAGGAGTAGGTCATTGTAATTGGGGTCGTCGAGACCATGGGGACTTAGCACTACTTTCCAGGCATCATGGTCTGTGCCAACGCGCGCTTTGAAGTCACCAAGCGCAATCGACTTATCAGCCTTCGGCACAGATGCCGGGAAGACGTGCAGATCCTCGTAAAATTTGTTTTTTCCGCGTCAGAGCTGGTCATTGAGGGGCGTAGACGCTGATGATAGTGGCAAATTTGCCTCTCCGAAGAGGCAGGCGAAAGCTCATTAGGCGTTCGTTGATGCCCTGCGGCAGACAGGGCAATCGTCTCACGATGTTGTTTCGGATGGCAAAGTCGACACCCGCGTCCCGTCGCTCTGCATTTGGGACGACCGCTCCAGAAGAAGGTGTAGTCGTCACCTCTCTCATCCAGTTGGCCTTATTCGGAGAACCGGGTCTCGCTGAGTGCAACTATTTCCACCTTGTAGAGGAGCATCAGTTCCCCGGCGACTCGCACCACATTCCGTTACGGTCGGTTGCTCCTTGAATTATCTAAAAAGGAACGAGCATTCCAGGCTGCCAGGGTGAACGGACTTACCCTACTAGCCTGTGTGGTGGGGCGGCGGTGAGGGAGTGGGCAAGAGAGAGCGAGGGTATAGTTTCTTTAGTGATTGTTCCGACCGTGGGTTTGGAGTCTACGAGCCACGGTCAGCGCGCATTTGTCTAGGTCACTTTTTCTATTCCCGTCCCCCTCTCGTGGATAAGCAGTGTTGTCCCAAAATAGGGCAGTTAAGTCGCACCAGACGGATATCGCTCCCCACTATAGGTCTCTAGGTTTGGTGAGATAACAATTAAAGGCCTGGGCCGTCTACGTGAACGCTGTCGCTCTCGCAGTAGAACATTTGGCGTGGGGGGAGGAGGCGGAATGGGGGAAGAGTAAAAATACGGTATGGACAGTTTCCCGTCCCTCTCTGAGCTAAATGTTTGCTGCAATATAGACATTGAGCAGAAAAATTCAACAGAACGGTATTTAGCTTACATCAAGGAAGACAAAGGCGCCCAAGCAAGAACAAGCAAAAAAGCAGAGACAACAGAGCAATATTCGGCTTAGCTGGGTGAGCCACTTACCTTGGGACCCTCAGCTCGGTTGCAGACGAAGCTTCATCTCGGAGGTAGTGATGCGGTGATCTGTGGAAATTTTGACCGTGGGGTAGGAGAGTAGATTAGAGGGCGGGGAGAGTGAGGGGCATATGAGACGGACGGAGAATAGATGCAGAAGAATGGTAGGGGGCGATCTTCCATCCATTAGGTCTGGAGCTTGCTGAGTTCTGGTGGTCTCCTGTTTGGTTGCGAATGGAGTCCCATTTCGAAGATCCCGAACCCGTGGTCCATCTGGCCTGCGATGGTGGGAGCCGAGCCGAGTTACCGTGTGCTGAGATGCACACACGGATACCCTCATCTGATTTAGCCCGCTGGTCGAGTCGGTTAACGAGGTGTGGTCGCTAGGCAGAGCCAAGCTGCAGGGAGCCACGTGTGCGAGTTGGGTGCCAGTTAATAGACGCTAAACCTAGCCTACACCTGCAAACAAATGAGCAACCCACTACGACCATAACGGGGCCCGGAACTGAATACCCCACACATGCACACACATAACCGTTCGATCGGTGACTTGCGTGTGAATTAGCTTAAAGTGATGGACTTTCGCCGCATCAACTGGACTCTTTCCTCCCCAACCTGAGCCATCCAGGAAGACCGGTGGTGCCAGCGGTTGTTTGTCGCTGACCCAGTGAAAAACTGTACGTATGCGTATCTCCACAATCCCCGTTTCACAAAGTGCACTGACCAGGATTTTATACGACGAGTATATGGATGTGCAGCTTAGATCCCACTAGGTGGGAGTGTCCTAGAGGTCACATTTAGGAGGAGCTATTGCAGCCTGACTTTCAGTCCACCAGTCGGCCACTCCGCACAAACACTCGCTGAACTGTTTGCTAGGTCTGAGTTCCATCGTCAGTTGGCAACCCTCCAAGCTACGACGCTTAGTGCACCGTCATAGTCTGAGGCTCTTATCTTAGATGTAACAGACGATCCACGTGGAGGAGCCAAATGACACTTCTCACCTGTGTGACAAGCTTGCGTTGTTTAATGTTTATAGTGGTTATGGATGTTCGTGCTTGCGACGAGAGGTGTGGCGGCATTATATTGCCGGCGGTATTCTATCACAGGTTCTCCAGGAGGCGCATGTGGCTTAGTAGGCCAATTTGATAGCTGAATGTTCGAGGGCAGTGCGTACAAGCGAGGCAATGACGTCTTTTGTGTGTCGGTGTTCCAGACACTGGTTCACCATTTTCTGTGCGTTTGATTCACAAGTGGCCGACCAGGCCTATGCGTGTGATGAACATGCGGTGGCAATATGGGGACAGGCTAGTTCGGGGAATTGTTTTAGTGTTGTTAGTGGTGGGCGCGCTAGTCGATGGGAATTTGATTGAGATGGGGATAGGAAGGATGGTTGACGTGCAAGGCGTAATGGATGTGCATACACTGTGGTAAATTCCGCTGCTACGGATACGCATGCGACCGAATAGGCCCATACGGTGTATAGATGTGCGTGGGTAGTGTGGACAGTGAAAGCGGATGCAGCGAATGCCTATGGAAGGTCCTGGCACTGGTGCGCCTGTCGCAGTGTGATGGATTCTCGACTGACCGACCAGGCCGATGCGTGAGGTGCATGTGCGTTCTCAATGGGGACAGGCTAAGACAGAATCCGCATCGCTGGGGATGGTGGGGATGATGGTTGGCTGGCCGTCGGGAGAGGTTTGGTTGGGTGGTCGTCATCGTTGCGGAGGATGTGGCGGCGAGGATTATGAAGATGATGATAACCAACGGCAGTGGAGCATAGGGATGTTCAGCATCGATGGTGAGGGCTGTCATCGTAGTGTGCGCCGTAGGGGGTTGGAACAGGGGCGGTGGAGTGGCTGGTGCGCTGAGTCCGGAGATCCCATACGAGGCCGATCCGCGCGTGCAATGTCCGTTGACAGCGCGGGCATTTTGGAAGGCGTTGGGGTTGGCGTTACTGGTCAGGGGTGCCTGAGACTTGTGAGCTTCCCTTTTTGGCTTTGGCAGCGGCTAACCAATTGCATTCATAGATGGCTGCTGCAGTCGTCTCTGCTCTTTTACATTCCGGTCGGTCCTGTGTTGGGACTCCCCAAGTATTCGGGTTGATCTGTAGTCACTTTAAGGAATTTCTCAAGGTATCCCCGTAGTGACGGTTTGACCTCCATGTCGGCGAATACCCGTGGCGACATCTCCGTA